TATGGCTGACATGGGAGTTCTCACATCTGACTTGGTGTTTCAGGCTCCCTGGAGACTCAGGCAAACATGACATCAGTTTGTACTCACTATACAATTGGAGGGTTATGTCTGCAGCCAAAAGAGCTGGAAACTTACTTTTTTTTCTTTCCTTCTATGGAATCTCAGATTGTGCAGATTCTGACGGTGTCATGCAAGCCACATCAATGATACCCCCAAACAGATATTTATGAACGTTTGAAGAAACGAAGCCCTTCCAGTAAGAGCCTATCATGAAACTCAAAACTCGTTATCAATTAATAAGTTCTACCACCATCCCCTTTCTACCAAAGAAAGTAGTTAAGAGCACCAAGCTTCATCAGAACAAATCGTGTGAGGAAATACAAAACCAGTAGGGGGACGGGGAACATTGCAGATAGTAACTTTGCTTTTTCTGTGCTCTTTTTGAGCCCATTCTCCGTAGTTCCCAAAACCATTGCCAAATTTCCCTCCAGCTTCACACAATAAATACATTCTACAGGTTTTCAGGCACATCAGTCTTTGGCTTTCAAAATTAGGAGCCTTATAATGTGCACACAGGTGCAATGTCTGTACAACTGCACTCTTCTATCAGCAACCCCTATCGGCAAGCGAACAATAGGGGAAAATACCAGAAGGATGAGAGGACCTGTCATTTATATTTTCAAGGATCAGGTTCAGAATCCTTCCATCTTGCAGTATTAACGTTTGGCACTAGGAGGCATCTGAACATCAGAGATATCCAAAGAGCTTTTAGCAAACTAGGAATGTTTACAAACCTTGCATGGAATTTATTTAGGGTGACCAGACAGCAAATGGGAAAAATCTGGACAGGGGGTGGGGGGGTAATAGGAGCCTCTATAAGAGAGAGACTCAAAAATCGGGACTGTCCCTATAAAATCGGGACATCTGGTCACCCTAAATTTATAGAACTAAAGTAGAGCAAGTAGAGCTTTGGCTCCATTTGTGAGACAGAGGCCCCTTGGCCCCTATTTCTTGCAAACAGCTCTTGCTTTAGATGCTACAAACTTACTACACCAAACACATCTTACAGGATATTTGTCCATAAAGAGTAACACGTGTCTACAGAAAGCTTGTAACTTGTCAAGACTCAGAAGCACTGTGAGATGTATGGGCAATATTTAAGGAATAATGTATTTATATTGAAAGCATTCTTTATTGACTAGAATAAAAATTAGTCACTGGGGTACTGTCTGAGGGCTTGTCTACACTGTCAAGTTTTGTCCCCAAAAACTGCCTTTTGGTGACAAAACAGCAAGAGCGTACATACTACAATGGGGACTTCTGTCATGAAAAATGCCCAGTTTTGGCAACAAAAAACTTCCACCCTTACGAGAGACTTTGTCTTTTCCCCTCCCATTATTGTCGACAAAGAGCCAGTGTAGACACTGCTGATTGTTCTGTCGACAGAACTGGCTTCTGCCAGTATCTCACAATGCCTGCCCTGATTGCTCTGCTCAGTGTTTTGATCTCCGCTGCCCTGTGAGCATGCACCCCTCCCCTTTCAAATCTCCTGGAAGTATCTGTGTGCTGCTCCGCTTGGGGAACAAATAAAGAGCAAATCCTTGGAATGCTCCTGTTCTGCCCTGCGCTAGGAACATAGCAACAGGCAGGCTGCTGCTGCACGGGGAGGGGGACAGACTGCTGTGCTGCTTTGCCATTCCTCAACATGGAGAGCTCACAGAGCTGCTCATGATGCTGCTCTCAGCAGCTGAGGGGGCTGTGGGAGAACTCGGAGAGAATCCCAAGATGCGCAGCGATCAGCTCTTCCTTCTCACAACACTGTACTGTGGGATACATACCCATGGTGCATTGCTCACCCTGTCGATAATGGTGTCCCCCATGTAGACATAACCTATTGACAGAGAGAGCAAGTGTGAATACGCTTTGGCGATTTTTGATTTGTCAACTTTTGGGTGTCGACATAAGTTTTGTCAACAAAACTTGGTAGTGTAGACAAGCCCTCAGGGATGACCCATTCATGCAGGGGGAGTTGTCACTCCACCCTGTTTAGCTGGGGAGGTAATGCAAAGCTCAGGGCTTGGCTACACTTGCAAGTTAGAGCTCATTAAAGCAGCCCCGGGCATCCTAGCTCACTGCCCGTCCACACTGGCAATCACGTAGAGCGCTCTGACTCCAGGGCTAGAGCACTTCTGGTACTCCACCTCGGTGAGAAGATTAACACTTGGTGCACATTGGCTGAAATGCCCGGGTGTCAGTGTGAACGAGGTGTTGCATTACTGAGCTCTGATCAGCCTCTGGAAACGTCCCATAATCCCCTTAAGTCAAGTGGCCACTTTTGTCATTGTTTTGGAATCACTGCAGGCATGCTGATATGCCCTTTGAAAGCTCCATTTCTGACAGCCGGCTGCTTATCTGCTCCGAGACAAAGCAACCATTACTGTAGAATGCTGTGTGTGTGAGAGAGGCGGGGGGGGGGGGGTCTGTTGCTGTCTGACTTTACAGAACAGCAGGCTGACATGTCCCCGCCCCCCCTCTCTCTCCCCCCACATACACACAACACACTCCCTGTCACACTTCACCCCACCCCCCTCATTTGAAAAGCACGTTGCAGCCACTTGCATGCTGGGATGGCTACCACAATGCACTGCTCCCTCTGGCCATTGCAAGAGCTGCTCATGTGGCCACGCCAGTGCACTTGCAGCTGTCAGTGTGGACCGATTGCAGCACTTTCCCTATTGCGCTCTATGAAGGCTGGTTTAACTCAAAGTGCTCTACATCTGCAAGTGTAGTCATACCCTCAGTTGTTTGGCCTTGCTCCCTCCCAAGCCTACCAACAGGAAACCATCAGAGATAACTACAAACAATTGAAACCACTTTGAGGTGGAAAAGGAACATTACAACAGAGAGAGGTTTGCCCTCTCTGAATAAAAACAAAAGGCTGTTTTCAGGATAACACACAAGGGGGAGAAGCATTTTGGATCCATTCACTGAGGAAGTCCCCTGAGGGGCAGGGGGGCTTTCATGAATGTTTGGATCCTGAGTCTTGTGAAACCAGCCAGCTCTACAGCAGCCTGAAATTTGCAGGGAAAACTTACTTCATATATTGATAAGTCTACAAGGTATGCAGTTTGTTTTTTATGTTGTAACCCCTTGCTTTTAACACTTTTTTTCTTTTTCTAGTTAAATTTTTATTTTCACTTAAATCAACTTTTGTTTTATTATAAGGGCTCAGAAGTGCTGTGTGGTTTCCAAGAGTGACGGTTTAAGGTAAAATTTGTAAACGGGGGTTCCCTGCACCTTGGGGTATGAAGGATCTGGAATTTCTGTGAATAGCCAGTATCAAGGGCTGGAGATCATAGGGATACAATTCAAAGGGGACTGGTGTGCACCTCTTGTTAACCTGCAAGGTGAAGTTAGGGCTGGCAATTGGCAAGATGAGAGTGCTTGAGTGTCTGAAAGGCTGGTTGTGTTAGGAAGCTGACGTGGAGCCAGGGATAAGCAAGACAGACTCTTTCACGCTGGAGGCAAGGTGTAATATGGTGCCCCGAGAACCATCACAACAATTACAGCAGTTTGAGTAGGTCAAAACTGTTGAGGCATCCAGTGTAGTTCACCATATTATACCTTGTTCTTCTCAAACATTATTTCAAAAAGCTGTAAAGGAGTTTTGTTCCACAAAGTAGTGTCTAATTTCACTTTATCAGTCTAGGCACATATACATATTGTTCCTCTTTGAAAGTAAATACTTGGATTTTCAGCTGTTTCTAATCTTGTTATTTTACTATAGGTCCAAGTAACCTACAGTGGCTGTCTACACTACAACTGCTACAGTAGCACAGCTCCAGGGTACGGGGGTGGAGATGCTTCCCCTGTTGATATGATGGGGTTTTTCTGGTGCCGTAGTTAATCCACCTGTCTGAGAGGTGGTAGCTAGGTCAACAGAAGAATTCTTCCATTGACCTAGCCATGTATATCTACACCCAGGAGTAGGTCGACCTAACAGCAGTGCTCAAGGCATGAAATTTTTCACAGCCCTGAGCAATCCAGCTAGGTCAAATCTAATTTTTAAGTGTAGACCAGCCCTTAGCCACTTGTTGATCTAGTTTTTTCCTTTCTCCCCATTTCCACTTAGGCTGGGTCCAGACTGGAGTTTTTGGCCTTGTTGTTGTGTATGTTCATTAACACCCTTGTAAATGCTGCTGGCCATATTTCACATTTGTTTCTTATCAGGTTTCTAAGGTGAATTAGACCCAGGCACAAAAGGCTTGTGATCTGGAACATACTTTAATAATGTCCATTAGCCTTAGTGAGTAGTAGGGCTTTGCAGGAGTGGGCCCTCATATTGTAACTAGGCGAGCTGGACAATTTGTAGGGGGGGCGGCGGAGCTGAGAGCCATTGAACCAAACTGTAAACCTTGTGTATGATGGAAACCACTTCAAGCCGCAGCCCCAGTTCCAGCACCTATGTCTGTAAATGGTCTGAGAGCTGCCTCTTAATAATAATAATAAATAATTACTAAGGACACCTAGCTTTCATAGAAAGCTTTTCATCCTTTGGTCTCAGTTTTTTTCCTGGGGAGGGTCAGGCGCTGTGATGACGCTACAGCAATAATAAATGAAACGGTTTAGTCGGTAGCAAACTGTAACCAGAAGAGAAAATAGCACTGATCGGATTTAACCATCACCCGGACTGCCGGGGAGCTGATGAAGGCGAAGTGGGAGCCGATTTCCCAGGGCGCTTGACCCATCCTAGTCAGAACAAGGGACAACCCCACCAGAGTGACACCGAAGGGAGGCGCCTGCCAGGAAGCGCGCCGCGAGGCAGCCCCATATTTGGAAGGGAACCCAGGGAAGCGGGGGCGTGAGAAAGGAACGCGGCGTTTGCCGGAGCCGGGCTTCCCCTCCGCCGGGTGTCACTCTGGGCTGGGCGAAGCGCGCTGCGAGGCGGAGCAGCCAGACTGAGCGCCCAGAGCCGGGCGCCGGCTCCGCACGGCCGCTCGCCGCCCCAGACACCTCGGTAGGGTCAGGATCGTCCCGGCTTCGCCGGCGCCTGGTCGCTCGCCGCCATCCGCTTCGGGCGCGAGGAGGAACGGGACCGGCTGCTGCCTGCCCCGCCGGGAGGAGGCTCCGCGGCCAGCAGGCGCAAGCCGCCCCATGCCAGGAGGATGCTGGAGAGTGGCTGCAAGGCGCTGAAGGAGGGCGTGCTGGAGAAGCGGAGCGACGGGCTGCTGCAGCTGTGGAAGAAGAAGCGCTGCATCCTGACCGAGGAAGGGCTGCTCCTCGTGCCCCCCAAGCAGCCGCAGCCGGGTCCCCCGGCCGCCGAGCCGCCGGCCGCCAAGATCAAGGAGCTGCACTTCTCCCACATGAAGACGGTGGACTGCGTGGAGCGGAAGGGCAAGTACGTGTATTTCACCGTGGTCATGGCCGAGGGGAAGGAGATCGATTTTCGGGGCCCGCAGGAGCAGGGCTGGAACGCCGAGATCACGCTGCAGCTGGTGCAGTACAAGAACCGCCAGGCCATCCTGGCCGTCAAGTCCACCCGCCAGAAGCAGCAGCACCTGGTCCAGCAGCACCCGGGCCAGCGCCTCCGCAGCGCCTCCAACTCCGCGTAGGGCGCCCGAGGGACCGGCCGCGGCACAGCCCAGGTACCTCCCCGGGCTCCTAGGAATCCTGCCCCCTCCCCTACTAGCCTCAGGGCGCCGGGGAGCGTGGGATCTGCGGGGCGCCAGAGCCAAACCAGGACCCCCCGGATCCCTCCCTAGGTCGAAGCAGGTGGGCTCCCAAGCGCTCTCAAGGCACTGGGAGCCTTTACAAACCAAACCATAGCCAATTTACCGGCCTGGGACTCCGTCTGCCTGGGGGAGAGGGAGGAGAGAAAGCGTTTCCTCTGCTCCCAGCCCTTCCGTTCTCCCCCAGCACCTTCGAGGAGTTTCAGAGACAGCCGGGGAGTGCGGCTGACTTAGCGCTGCCTTTTGCGCCGGGGGTGTGTGGTTTCCGAGCCCTGGCCTGTCCTTATAAGCTCCAGAAGCCCATATGATCTTCCATCTCCTGCCCTTCCGTTTGTGCCTGGTTCACTGTTGCAGGACGGTGCACCTACCATTTGTCATTCAGAGAACTTGTTCCAGGCACAGGCAGGTTGGCTATCTGTGCACACACCCTTTGTCAGCTCATTCCGATTCCCTTCCTTCTGTATTGTTGTATCACAGGTTGAATCGAAGCGGCACTTCAGGAAGTGAGACTGAGCAGCATCTTTCTGTTGTGAACATATTTCAGTGGCTCGACAAACTTGGCAAACCGAGGAGAGCCACGGAGCAGGGAGACTGGAGAGCATCAGTTCAACAACCTGAAAACCCAGCGAGTTTTCTGCACAATCCCTTCCTTGGTGCGGGGAAAACATTTCAAGTCATATGGACTCTGAGTACTATTTATGAACCTTGGAAAGGATCATCTGGCATGATGGGGCGTCTAGGACACATGATGTACTGTACATTTATTTTAAAGTATTTTATTTTATGGTTATTTATTAGGGATTTTGTAAAAGGCTAGTTTGCAAGACCTTTCTGAATGTAGGCCATTATCCAGAAATCAAATTCCAAATACAAATTCAAAGCACACCTTAGCTCTCTTTGGAGAGAGAGAGGGAGGTTGTGGGAGAAGTGAATGATTTATATGGCCATGAATTTTGGGTGATTTTCCACATGGAATACAATAGTTTTCATTTCTACCCAAAATATTCTTTTAGAAACTGTTGTTATATTAATGTGGAAAGTATAATGCATGGTTTAGAATTCGGATAAAGATCTTAATGCACAAGAAATTGCTTCTCTCCAAGGGTTGGAACCTGATGCCAAGGTTATTATTATTTTTTAAACATAAATATGGGGGAAGGGTATTACATTTTATACACAACTCAGTTACACAGAAAAAATGATCTGATTCATTATTATTAGATAAAATACCTTTTGTTTCATTTATCATATACAGCAGTTGAAGAGGGAGCTCTGACCAATTTGATTTGTGATATGAGAATGTCACGTTAAACTTATATCAATTTTATGTGCTCGCTTATTTTGTGTTATGAAAATGGTTGTAAGAGCTGAGAACTATTTATTAAAACTTCTGTACATTTGAGTTCAGGGCTCTCTTGGTACAGAAGGTTTATGAAAGGGCCATGTTCCTGACCTTTTTCTGACAGATTTTAAAGCCCATCTTGTAAATGTCTTAAAGTATTTAAATGAGTCATTTCAGTCATAATTTTCCTAAACTGAAAAATGCTATATTGCTGAGATAAACAAGTTTATTTTGGTGTGTAATATTGCCAGATGTTGAGAGATGTGTTGGGATCTTGTCTGCATTATGTTAATGAACCCCATGAAGTTAGAGAACAAAGTACTAGGCATATGTGTCTTCCTTCTCCTGTTGAAATCAATGAGAGTTTTGCTGTTGATTTCAGCATATGGGGTGACTAGTCCCTGATCCAGAAAAGCAAGTTATGCCCGTGATCATGTGCTTTACTGGATTGGGCCCTTAATGTGGTGGATCATTTCCCATTTTGCACTGCTGTAGTTAAAGCTCTCTGCTTTGAAATAAATAGTGAGTTGTCCTTAAAAATCTGATAGTACGATACGGCCTGTTATCGCTAAGTCAAGGAACAGAGCCTCAGCCATGGAACTGTTTCTTTTTACCAACTCAGTAGGGAAACTGCTCTGCCTGTTTATAAGCTATACAAATGTAAACAGAGACTTAAAGTAATATGTTTAGAACTTCTGATTTGTAGCTTTACCTTAAAAAAAATGACTGGATAAAAGAAAACATGAAAATGACACAGAGAGATCTTAAACCAAGCACTGCATTTGAAGGGTATCTTTTAATTTACCCCCGTCTCACACTGAGGTCCAGTCCTGCAAGGTGCTGAGTTCATTCTGCTCCCCTTTATCTTACAGGGCATTCAGGGTACTGAGCCCCTTCCAAGGTGATGGAACATTATTTAGCCCCTATCCTGCAAACATGTAAGTAGCCCCATTAATGTCATTGGGACTACACATGTGAATAAAGTTAAGCAAGTGTTAACAGAATTAAGGCCCAGTCCAGCAAACCCTCATGTGAACATTCCCAGGGGGCTATTGGAGTTCAGGCCCTTTGTGGGGATATATATTGACTGGATTGGAATGGCAGGTTACAATTGCCCTAAGAAAGTCATTCCTTTGAGGCTAATTGAAACTGCGAATGTTCAGCACCTTGCAGGACTGGATCCCCTCAGTCTAGGACACAGGAAGGAAGGAGATGAAAAGATACCCTGCAAGTACAGCAGCTAGTTTTCACATCTCACTACATTTGCCATTCTCATTCTGCCAAATCGTAGATGATTGTGCTGGAAGGGAGACTTACAAAATAGACTGTAATTTGTAGTGGCTCCTTGAAAACCATTGCCCTTGACTGTGTAAAACATCTACCTTTTAAAAAGTGCCTAAATATTGATTTGTGGAAAAATGTGACCTCTTTTTCAGAGCCATTAATTACAGTTTATCAGGTAGCTAATCCACCCTTTCAGATATACACCTATAGCACAGAAAATTCACCTATCAAAACATGCATTTAACCAGGTAAAGAATAAATGTAATTATTCAAAATAAGTCTCTCTGTGATCCAAGATATGTATTTCCCTGGGAGATGAAGTCATTCCTATCCTACACAAACCTGATCCAAAGCCCACTGAAGTCCAGACTCCTCCTGATGCTAGAAGGACTTCCATTGACTTTGGCGGGCTTTGGATCAGGCCCTAAATCATTTAATTTTATCATTTTCCCTCAGAGTGCTTGTGCTTTTAAAAACAAACAAGGGCATTTTTTAAAAGGTTTAAATAACATTAAGATTCTGTCTCAAACTGATGAAAGGCAAGCCTTTAAAAATCAAGTTTGATGGCATCATTAGCTCACACTTTGATACATTTTCCCTCCAAGTTGAAATCAAAGTGTCCTCTTTCACGTTGCATGTCTTGGTTTATGTTGGTTTGAGACAGGCTCTTTCTGTATTATTTGAACATCTATCTTAAATGTAATAATCTTTATCATGAACAAACTGTTGCTTGTTGATACTGCCAGATGCATTACTTATTTCCCGTTAGGTTGTTTAAAACATTGCTGTCAGCCCAGGTGCTGCTGTGACAGGTGAGCACATCACAAAATCCACTTCTGAGTTGGCATCTGTGCTTGTGGTATAAGTAGAAGGTCCAGTGGTTGGCTGGGATGAGGGCATTCACTCCCTCAGCTCAGGATTGAGGTGGTGTGAGGACAGCCTGGCACATGCTGCTGCTCATGCCATCCCAGTGTCAATAAGAGTTCAATCTCTGGGGCATTCAATCTGGCAACTTTCTCAAGTACTAAATTTACTATGCTCTTCTTGAGAATAGTAGCAATACAGACCAAAAATTCAGCTGGACTTGTAAAGATAAATGTTTATTTTGTTCTTTTCCTACTGAACAGTCTTCATTAACTCTACTTGGTTAAATATTGATTGTCACCTACACGTTCTATGTCAGTGGTAACTACTCAAATAGGTCCAGTGGGTCCTGCACCATTCATGGCAGAACAACATGCATAATCCAACTCGAGGTTCACGAGTGAAGTAACCATGATAGCCCCTCCCTTTAATGGAAGAAGGATAGAATGGGTGTAGGACTCAAATGAGTTTAATAGAAAGCAAACTACAGTGCCAGTAAAACAAAAAGAGGTGCTCAGTGTAGCTAGCAGCAGTGTGGAAAGCTGGTTAATAAAGAGGTCAACCTTTTATGTCTTAGTAGAAGACATTGGTGCAAACTGAATGTGCCTGCATGTAAGGAGGGGCAGGATTCGGCAGGGAAATTCAAGCTGTGGTGACCATTCTGTAGCTTAATAGCTTTGTATTCAGAAGCAAGAAGTTCAACCAAATATGATCTCCATTCCATCCTGAAGTAGCTCCTCTTCTTTAAAGTTCATGATCTGTAACTGCTGGCTTCTGACCATTAGCTGCAGTGATGTACCAAATGTTTTCTAGCATATCCCGTCGTTAGCTGAAATATCGCTGTTGTCAAATCTGTGTGTAAATACGACTCATAAATGATTTCTGAGAGATGTGACTTATTTTTCATATTTTTCAAAATGCATTCCATTTCAAATAAAGAGGTATCTGTTGAAATGAATTGGTGCCATGTTGAAGGAACTCTCCTTTGGGGCTATAGCTTCTTAGCTTACAAAGGTTTAAGGGGCTGATCTAGAGCCCACTAAAGTTAATGAAAGTCTTTTCATTGACTTCAATAGGCTCTAGAAGAGGCTTGGGGTTTTTTTTTGAAAGACAACATGAGTTCAAAACAACTATTTACATAGAGCTTTCCTAAAAGAACGGCTGATTGAATTAACAGTGTCATCCAGTAACTTTTCTACATACAGCACAGTTGTAAGGTGTTAGGTCTTGTAGCTTGTGCATGGGTGGACTGCTCTTTGATTTCAGTGGGGCTCTGCCTGGCACAGGAGTTCACCAAGTTGCAGGACAGAGGCCTCCTCAGACTGTAATCTTTATCAGTGAGCGTGGTGATCTCTATGTATGAGGTAGAGAAGCTGGGTAAGAGTCTAAAGAGCAGCATGAGATTTGCCTTGTTGCTCTTCTATCAGCATCTAAAAGCCTCTGATGGAATTTCAAGTAACCTTTAAGTAGCCCGGAAAGGACACTTCAAACATTAGGAGTATCCTCTTACAACAGCACTTGTTCCTTATATGTGACAAGGAATGAATGTGCAACTGCCACGGTTGCTTTTGGAGTCTCTGTGGAATGATAAGTCTTCAGGTGTGTCGAGCTGCCTCAGTGAAGTTAAGCTGCGTTACCATGACCTTTGATATTTAGCAATACCAACTATATTAAGTTCAGTCGCACAATTTGTTCTCTGGCTCTCTCGTAAGTATATATAACACACATTTGCCAGTCTCTTTTATTTGTGAATTACCAAAAATATCTGCTCTAATGTGTATTTCAAGAGTTGTTCAGGCCAAAATTTTCAACTATAGGTGCCTAAAGTGTAAGCACTTTGATCCATAAACAACTTTATTTTCAGAGGTGCCGAGTGCTCGCTTCTCCCTCTGAGCCGCTGGTGCGCAGCTACTTCTAAAAATCAGGCCACTTTTCATTAGGTGTCTGTAGATTTAGTTGCTTAAATGTTTAGCTCCTAAGGTTGAGAATGTTGCTCGCAGCTTTTAAAGGGTGATATCCGTTATTACCTTGTAATTGTAGCTTGAAAAACATGTAAAGAAAAATATTTAACAACGAGGAATAGGAATACATAATAAAAGAAGAGTTTTGAAAAGAAGCTCAATCTATTAGCTTGGCAAAGAGAAGGTTAAGGGGTGACTTGTCATAGTATCTACCTGGGCTACAAATATTTGATGCTAGGCTCTTCAGTCTAGCAGACAAAGGTATAACAAGAGCCAATGGCTGGAAGTCAAAGCTAGACATATTGTTAACAGCCAGGATTATTAACCATTAAAACAATTTACCAAGGGTTGCTCATGGTGGATTTTCCATCACTAGCAATTTTTAAAGCAAGATTGGCTGTTTTTCTAAAAGATCTGGTCTGGTTCAAATAGAAATTAT